ATAAATGTCGTGAGGTTTATTACATAGTATATCAATTTTATTCCAATTTAAACTAGAAAGGATCACATTTATTTAAAATGATGCAGCTTCTATTCTAGAAATCATTGATTGGAGCCATTTAATTAAGATGTTAACTTAAAAAGTGAAAAGTTTTATCTTATAAAAATTTCCATATTCAGTTAGTAAAGGTTTTATTTGACTTATTTTACTGTGTTACAGCCAGATACGCTTCTCAGAACCCAATAAAAATATGAAGAGTAATGTCACATGGGAAATTGTTTCACAGCTTACTGTACTAATTTTAAGCACTATAGGTTTACTAAATTCCTGTTTGTGACAATGAAACTGAACAATCAGGGTAAAAATTTAAAAGCAACACTAGCCCTCCCTACTTCTTGCAGGTAAATGGAGCCTACATATCCCCAAATGCATTTATGGCTCTGTTGAACTTTAAAAGGCATCTTGCATGAATCGAAAGAATACACATGTTGTCTTTTCATGTGATCTCACAATTTACTTGCGCCAGAGCAGTAGATCAATAGCTGTGTGCCCAGAAACCACTTTTCAGTAGTGTTGTGGAGTATCAAAAACAGAAAAATCGAATTTTATTGTCTCAGGAGACTCGGTGCCTTTTTGTATTGCTCGTGTCAATGGTAATCTGAACTATTTATTTACATTTTCTAAGCTCTGAACATTTGGAAGTAAATAATAACATATTCAGAATGATCGAATCTGCTTTATTTGTCACCATTACCATGGCTACTAATAAGTTATTAAACTCTGATGTGTGAAATTTCTGAAATGAGCATTTTATGAAGCAAGTTATGCAGATATAAATCTCGACATTTACTACTTAAAACTTGTATGTCAAAACAAACACTAGTTTTGTGTAAGGTTTTGGAAAGTGTAAGCATGTACACATAGTATGTTGAGAGACAAGAACCCTAGTGTCTAGTTCTGTTTCCCATCTATTTTGTTGAGATCTCCATCAAGCTATATAACAATGAATTTGTTTTTAGTACCTTCCATGTGACATGTAACTTGTGATGTCTTCATACTTGAAGACGAGTTTTTTACAGTGTCTCATATCTGTTATTTGAGCTTTTGGCTATTCCCCTGACATGATTTATAGAAGTCTGTATTTTGACTCATGCCATTTTGGGCTGCTGTTTCTTTTCCTGTTGTCAAACATTTTTTGAAGCAATAACTGGAATAAAGAAAAAATTAAAACTATAATTTTAACCTATTTAGAAAATATGAATGAGAACAATGTATGTTTATATGTCTTATTTCATGTGGTCAATACAGTACTCCACGGAAAAGTCATAGCTACAGATATTGTCATTATTAAGTGAGAAAGATTAAAAATAAATGAGCCTATTAGCCAACTCAAGAGTTATCAAAAGAAGAAAACAAATTGAATGACAACAGGAGTAAGGACTTAACAAATATAGATAAGTCTGATGAATCAGAAAACAAAGAATAGAATTGAAAATTACATCCAAGATTTTGTTCTTTGATTAAACAACAAGAAAAATGGGTGAAAATCTGGCAAGTGTAATAGAAAATGAGAAAAATGTATATACACACTTGAAAATATAAAGAGAACATAGCAACAAATGTAGATATCCTATGGGAAATATTCTATAAATTCCATAAGAATACTAGAAAATCTTAACGAAATAAGTATTTTTGGGGGGATGGCAAACAGCTGAAATGGACTCAGAAAGAAGTGTAAAACCTGAAATCAATGATAATGTAAGACGTTTTCAAAAAACCCTTCCTCTAAAATACACATGGCCCACCCAGATTCTTCACCTGTGAACTCTTTTTTTTAATGCATTATAATTATTTCTAAACATAGACAGTGTTAGAAATTTTTCTGTATCATTTCCAAGATGGTAATATAGGGGCCAGGAAAAAGGAAAAAAAAAAAAAAAGACAACTTCAAGGATCAGTATTTGAAAAGGAACCTACGTGATATACTTCTAAGAAAATTGGTTTTAAAATCCTAGGAGAAAACCCAGCAATTAATTCCAGCAGCATGCTAAAAATAAACTTAAAAAAAAAAACCCAGTTGATGTAAGGGTCGAATCAATGTGAAGAAATTGGTTAATACAATGCATGAAATGGTAAAAACCCTATGATTATATTAATGGATACTGAAAAGACAGTTGATAAAATGCAACATCACTTACTGATAAAAATAATTTTTAGTAATTAGAAATAAAAGGAACCTTTCATAATGTCATTTTAAAAGTGACTCAGTGGATTACATGGAGTAGCAGCATTCTCATTAGATTAAGGAACAAGACAAGGGGTATATGTTATTCCCGTCATTACAACACCCTATTCTGATAGTGCCACTACAATGAGACAAAACCTGTGAGAAAAGCCCTCACCCATCCAAGGCCAAAGGACGGACATGGAGACATGAGGTACAGCAAAGCGAGACTTCAATTACGGCCTTGCAAGGTTTGGGTGTCTGACGGGCGGGCACACGGAAAAGGGCTGCAACAAGGAATTTATTTCCTAGTGCACAAGTCCCTGCCCCCGTCTTCTCATTGTTTGGGGTGTACAGTCTTCCCGGCTGACTTCTAAGAGTACCCCAATTTACTACCCTCTTGTAGGAAATTTCTTTGTCTGAGGGCTCAGGACAAGCCCTTGAAAAAGGCCCACCCAAAACCCTGTGAAAGGAGAAAAATTAGGAAATGAAGAGGACAATAAAGGGCTATTAACTCATTACCATCTCAAGGGCAACTTTGTGCATTTTAAGTAAACAATTAAGGGCTGGTAACTCATTACCATCTCAAGAACAACTTTATCTATTCAGCGACCCCCCAGGAATGGGCTGGACCAGTCAGACAACTTTCGGGCTGGACCTGAATTATTTCTGAAAATTAATCACTTAGATTATTTTCTTACAAAACCACAACATCACACAAGAAAATACAAGAAGACACGGCTAAGGAAGGTATTTTCCAGCTGTTAAAATATATCAGCGTTGGTCATCCATGCTCGTGGTATTATGGGTGTTTTCTTTTTTTCTCTTTTTGCTTCTCTGTATTTGCTATACAGAACTTCTATAGCTCTTTTTTCTATCATTTTTTAAATTGAGACAACAAACACCGAGAAATCATGATTCAAAAGAAGAGATTTTCTTCTCTTTTCAAATGAGTGGCTTACTCTGAATAAGATACACTGAATAACATACTGAGGTATTTCACTGTCTTGAATCCTGTTCAGACAGACGACTCAGTAAAAGCATAAGGAGCAATTTGTCACTTTTGTGAAGTGCAAGACTACAGGAAAGCTGAATCAGGTTTCTATGTGTCTAACGTGGCTTTTTTCCTTGACACCAATAATATGCTTTGTTACAATCTCTGTCTCCATGTGTAGTGACTTTTCCTTGTCATGATGACTTTATCTAGTCATGATGACTTTATCTAGTCCAACACTTCCCAAGATGACTTTATCTAGTCTGACAATTTTTTCCAGGATTAGTTGAGCTTTTCCTTCTAGGAAATTTCCATTGCACCTAACAGTGGAAATGCTAGGATGGCTGGGCTCCCTTTTGGCTGCCTCTCCCTCTAGTACAGCTTTTCGTGACTCACTGCCCTTGCAAGCAAGGTGAGAGAAATGTGGAAAGCTTCCTGGGGTGGATTTAGCTAACAGAAGTGGGCCACCTATGATAAAATACCAGCCTTCCCAGGACGGGGAAATATGTCTCTCAAGGTGTCCTTGTGATTTTCCTCATTGTTGCATTCAAAATCCAAATTTTCTACTTAACATCAGGGTCACCCAATCTGATTTTTCCATTCATGATTTTTGATGAACGAGGTGGAATTTGGGGACTGAATTCATGAAGAGGCAGCACGGCAGAGAGAAAAGCCCTGACATGGACCCCCGGGGGCTGCTGTGGCAACTGTGGAACACCCAGCAGGGGAAAGAAAGCCTCTTTCACACCCATGATCTCCATACTCAGCGCTTCTCTGAGGCTTTGTTGCAACATCAGTTTTAACCGATGAAGGAAAGACTCTTTCACTCTCATGATCTCCATCCTCAGCACGTCTCTGAGGTTTTGTTGCAACGTCAGTTTTGACCGATGATGACCAGAGATGCAGGGTGGTTCCAGGTGGCGGGGAGAGGGTCCCAGTGTAAGTCAGCCTGGCTGGTAAGGCCACACCCCTTCCACCCATCCTGTTGCTGCCAGTGACTCAAACACCAGATCCTCAGTTCCCTCCCAGGGAGGTGTTGTTTTGGGTATTAGAAAAATAATCCAGTGAACCTAGTTCATGGCAGGTAGCTCTTAATTGCTGTTGCATAGCTACACTGACCAACAAGACACTAGTCAGCCACACATTGCTACCTAAATTGAATTAAGTCCGTCAAAAATTCTGTATCTCAGCAGCCCTAGCCCCATTCCAAATGCTCAATAGCCACCCATGTCGAGTGGCTACCATATAGGACAGCACAGATATAGAATGTTCCCATCGTCACAGAATATTCCATTGGACCACACTGCTTTATATCATCAACTTAGATTTTACACAACTGCCAGACCTTAGTGCTGAGCAAAACCAATCCCTCTGTTGGAAGCAGAAGCTCTCCTGGTATGTTCACCTGCTGTGGTCAGAGTCAGGTGAGGCCAGTCTCTGAAGAGCATCCTTTGTTTACTAGAGATAGGAAAGAGTGATCTTTGTTTCCCAAATTAAGATAGCCTATCTGTGAGCCAGATAATACCCTTGGAAAGGAAAACCTGCAGAGAGGATTCAATTCTTCCCGCCTACACTTATGCAGAGAACTGCAGGAGGGGTGGCAGGAGGATTCAGCCTTTGTGCCAACAGAGGATGTTCTTTAGAGGAAGAGTTTTCAAAACAGATTTTGGAAATAACAGGAGATGGGCCGCTTCTATAGAAGCATTAACCCAAATGATGGGTGTTAATGATTAAACCTTTCAGGCGGTGACTCCCTTGTTTTTCAGATATTCTAATCCGGGTCACAGAATGTCTAAGGCAGCTTTAAGTGGAAGGTAGATTTTTTTTTCTCAGTTTGCCTTGTGTTCTCCATTCTGAAAGAATGTTGTGGCTGCTCCTTTTTGTGGTGACTGCTATTCATGCTGAACTCTGTCAGCCAGGTACGTTGCCTTGAAACTTAAAAATAGATTAACAGTTTTCTAAATGATTGAGAAGTCATTGACTGAAAGAACTCTTTATTTTTCTAAATCTGCAGATGTGTTGTGGCTTGCAAATTGAGCCCGTGACTCTCATGAGTTTGAGAGAAAATTTTAAGCCACCTGAGATGGTTTTGGTTAAAGTTTGGAGAGTACTTGGGGCAGTTTAATTGGAGTTCTGTGTTCTGTTGGTTTGAGTTGCACTAAACATTGGGATTTATCGGGCTCTGTTTTTGCGGATCTTATCATCATATACTGCTCCTTTTTCTTTCCGACAGATGCAGAAAATGCTTTTAAAGTGAGGCTTAGTATCAAAACAGCTCTGGGAGATAACGCAGTAAGTGGAGAACCTGCATGCTCATTTCTCATGTCAATTTTGTTTGCTAATAACACTGTGCTTTCTCTAATCGTGCACCTCCCTGCATAGTATCTTAATCTTCAATACATTATTTCTAAAGACCTCAAATCCGATCTTTTCTCAAAGACAGATTATAATAAATGAGAAATTGTTAATAAAGTAAGTTTGCCTGTTGAATCTGTAGCATATGCTAGAAAGTATATGCAGTTTTGGATTACACAAAACTATTTTAAAAACTTGGACATCTCAACCCAGCATAGTGCAGCAGAGGGGCCTGCCCCTCGCCGTTGTGGTCCTTTGAATTTTGTAAGCCTTGGTTTTCTAGTCCTTGAAAAGAAGGGATGGTTCTACCCACATAAGGTCTTTCACAGCACAGAAATTTTCCAATTCTAACATGAAGGTTTTTCATTCATTCTCAGTTATCAAAGTAACAGTTTAAAATATATGCTTATGAAATAGAAGTTAGGGCCTATGTGGATATAGGAACAATAAAAACTAGTGAGTTAACAAGAGAGTGTTGTCTAACTCCAGTTTCAGTTTCCCAGTGTGGTCTGTGAATTTTTTCCCAATAGAAGGTGATATTAAGATGTCTCAAGCTACATACAACAAAGAATGCTAAAGAAACTTACAAGTATTCTGTTTGTAGGCCAATCCACAAATGTATTATTTTATTATGCACCCAGTGAGTTATAATTGATATAATAGCCAGCATTTATTAAGAACTTAGTTTACTTTCTAGCTGGGACCCTTCTAAGCATGTTACTCCTATCATTTCATTTAGCCCTTATAACAACCTTTTGAAGAAGGTAGTACAGGTACTCCCATTCCCACTGGATGGATGAGAAATCCAAGGCACAAAGAAATTAAGTGACTGGCTCAAGATCTCAAGCCAGCCAGTGGCAGAGGTAAGATTTGAACCCAGGCGGTATGTAGGGTTGCTCATCTCAGAATACTCTAAGGCAGACACCATGCTGTATGCTGGGGATACAGTGGTGCTAAAATCACGCTTGTCCCTGCCTTTGTGCAGCTTATGGTAGTGGTAGAATCAGTCATCTGTTAACTATTCAGTAAACCCAATGCAAATGCACAATCTTGGCCAGTATTGCAGGAGGGAGAAATAGAAGGGGGCTTTGGCTTCATCAGCGGCCTCAGTACCTGGCACTTGCTGTGAGGTCTAAAGCATGAGCAGAAATGAACCAGAGGATAAAAGAAGGAGAGGCAGAGGAAACAGCATGTGCAATGGCTCATCACAGGAAGGACCATGGTGGGAGTGAAGGACAGAAGAAAGGCTGAGGTGTCTGGAATTGGAGTAGTGAGAAGGAGCACGGTGCATTATGAGCTTCGAGAGAAAGGAGGGACCAAGCAAAGGAATATGTGAGCTGTGGTAGGGAGTTTTGTTTCAAGATGAAGGAAGTGTTGAAGAGCATTAAATGTTGTTGAGAGGCCAAGCAAGATGAAGACTGAAAAACAGTCATTGTTAAGCAATGTACAGGTCAATGGCGATTTTAGAGAAGAGCTGTTTTTGTGGAGTAGCAGAGTTTAAAATAAATGGGTAGAAAATGTGCAGAAACAGGAGTAGGGACAACTCTTCTGAGAATTTTGGTTGTGAAGAGCAAGAGGGAAACAGCAATAGGTGGAAGAAAGGAAGATTCAGTAAAGTGATTTGTCTTTGCTGTTGTTCTCATGGGGAAGATTTGAGCACAGGTGAAAGTCAATGGGCAGTCTCCAGTCAGAAGAGAATACACAGAAGAGAGGATAGGTGGGGAACCAATATTGTTTAGGTCCTGAAACATAGTAGTCATGTGACCCACAAGAGAGCGAGAACTGATGGCGAAACCTAAAGATTCTCAGGCAATTTGGAGTAGGTCATCATGAATTTAGAATTAAAACAACAAACACTGTTTTGTGACTTTCTCCCCTTATACTTGTTTACTCACCTAAAATATGGGGTTAGCCATGGTTTGAGTGTTCTCAGATGTGTGCAAAAAGCAAGGTGAGCTGGCACACTTAGAGCCTTGGCACAACTGTTATTGAAGTGCAGAGCCAAGGAATCTGAACTGATGGTAAATACATGCAATTACTATGCACCACTTGGTCTGTGAAGCCACATATAAAGATGTGTTCAATTTCACACATTTTATTGAGCACCTCTTATGTATCAAATACATGCAGAACAGGTAGCTAAGCTTCTATGAACATTCTTGCACATTTATTTTCCATATGCTTTTTTTTTGTGAGTATTTACTCAGGAGTAGAATAGCTGGGTCATAGAGTATGCATATGTTTAGCTTTAGTGACTCTTTCCTTATCCTTTCTTAAGTTGTACATTTTCTCATTACTACGTGTGCTCAACTCCTTTTATGTGTGGATCCACTCTCTTTGAAACGTTTTGAATGCCCTAGTAGAAATAAATTGCCTGCTGCACAAGCTTTCAGTCCTTTCATACTCACCCAAGATCAGTTGCTTGCACTGGCAGAATATGCAACCCGATCTAGAATTGTTTCAGTCTTGTTCTGATCTAAATAGCTTGGGGACTTTGTTCTGTGACCAAAACTGCACTCCTACCCAGCCAGCTCAGGAGAGGTTTTTAAGGAGAACCAATGAAAGGATGGAGATCAGGTCAAATCTCTTCTCCACGATCTGAAAAGCAATTTTAAACTCATGACCTGAGGACAGCCAGCCAGCATCTTCATTTTAGCTGCACTGAGCTTGTCGTTCTCACCCATGCTGGAGCAGCCTTAGTCTTCATCTCACATCATGGTAACCAGCCTTCCCTGACTGAATGGTGTTGGTGTGTGATTTCTAACCAGGCCAGTTTCTTCTTTGTATTTTGTTCTCATTTATTAGATTGGACTATAGCTGCTCTTATTCTGAGTAAAACTAATTTTGGAAACAAATGCATTATCAAACACAAGGAGCTATGCCACAAACCAATTATTTTTAAACTTTAATAATATAATAGAAAATATAAAGTTTATGTTAAGAGATTGAAGGAGCACTCCAAATATTATCTAAAGTTGATATTAAAATGTAATATTCGACACTTGCATGTGAGGAAAAAAGAGATCAAGTTTTCTCTTCTCGATGAAATATCTCACTGCGGAGTCAGTAAGACACAACTGAAAGAGGAAAGAGTGAAGTAGAAGCAAGCAACAGAAGGAAGTTTAAGGAATATGTTAGGAAGGTATTTAGGAAAAAAGAGGAGGTACAGTCATAGACCTTACCCAGAGAAGGTAACTGAGTGATACATTTTGGTTGTTTAAGAATCATCTATTTTTACTTACTATCTCCTTCCCTCCACTAGAGGAGGAAAAAGTCAGTAATAGTAAACTATGTATTCCCATCTCAGAGTGCAATTCCAATCCTGACAACGTCCCCATGACATGCCAGCTCCACCCCCACGCAGTTTCTCTACTCCCCTCAGCTTTTATTACTTTCTCCTTTCCTGTTTCTGCTTTAGTTGCTTTCTTGATGGTCCTTAAACATGCCAGTCTCTTTTTGCCTCAGGCTTTTACATTTGCCTTGTGAAGGAGCAGAACGAGTCAAATATACTGTATTCATTTGCTAGGGTTGCTGTAACAAAGCACTGCAGACTGGGCAGCTTAGACAACAGACGTTGATTTCCTCTCAGTTCTGGAGGCTAGAAGTCTAAGATTTCAAGGTGTTAGTAGGGCTGGTTCCTTCTGAGAGACGTGAGGGAATGATCTGTCGCAGGCCTCTCTCCTTGGCTTGTAGATGTCCTTCTTCCCCCTGTGTCTTCACATTATCCTCCCTCTGTACATGTCTGTGTCCAGATTTTCTCTTCTTCTATGGTCATCAGTCATATTGGATTAAATTCCACTACAATGACATTTTTAAATTTAATCATCTATGTAAAGACACCATTTCCAAATATGGTTACATTCTGAGGTATTGGGGGTCACATCTTCAAAGTGAATTTTTTTTGGGGGGGGACACAATTCAGCCCATAACAGTGCACACACGCAAGTTTACATCTAAGAAAATAAAAAAAAAATTCGTACTGATATTATTAAAGGAAAAGAAATTAGGAGGGAGAGTTAGCATATGAGGGAAGAGAGAAAGAGAAGAAGAGAATGGACCATATATGGCCCAGCTGAAATGTCCAAATGCCCTATTTGTTGACCAGCTACTTATACTGCAAGTTCTGAGGAAGATAGTGCAATATGAAACACACTGAACTTGGAATTATAGAATGTTCTAGAATCCCTGCCCCAAACATTATGGGGGCATGATTTATCGTGGTCTCCAGTTTTGAGAGAGAGAGAGGGGGGGGGGGGAGACATTGTGGGCAGTTAGAAACCAATGGACCATTTTTAACTCATGCTTCCACATTGCTGTTTTCCTTCTGTTTCAGTATGCCTGGGATTCAAATGAAGAATATCTCTTCAAAGCGATGGTGGCTTTCTCCATGAGAAAAGTTCCCAACAGAGAAGCAACAGAGTAAGCAAACAGTGAGAAATAGTAGCTGATTATTTGCAGTATTATTTGAGACAATGCATTATTTCAGATCTTGACCTTGAAGATAGTCTAATTTTTTGAAGGGACCCACATTTTTATTGAACGTTTTAAAAAGACTTTTGTAATCTGGCTCAATTTACAGTTTATATCATGTTCCAACCATGCTGTTTGCTCAATAGGCGATATGAAGATAAATATCCTCCCAAATTGCTGTCATATGTCCTAAGCTTTCTATATTCTATTATACCCATATAATTTTTCTTGCAGATGGATATTGCAGATAAAAACTAAAGAACTCTGCTCTAATTTGTAAAATAACCTAAATACATATAGGTCCTTCCCACTATTGGTATGTATCATAGCACCTTGTTTATTTTCCTAAAAGCACTTAGTACAACTTTTAATAGTTTCATAATTTTGTCTATTCTTCTTTCTTCTCTGTTTGTGATTAGGGTAACATTCCTGATCTCTCTTTATTCCCTCTCTCATTCCTCCCCTTGAGAGGTGAAATAACTTCTCTGGTGAGCTGGAAGGAGAACCCAGGCATGGGTTCCTTTCTGTTTGGGTGCTAGCTTGCCCTTTGACAGCAGGCATTTTCCTGTGCTACTGCCTAACTTAGTACAGAACCAGGCCCCTCACGGGCAGGTACACATACCTTTAAGGCTATAATTTATAGCTGAAGTGAGTTTAGATTGCTAGGTGCCATATCATATGAGGTGTTAAATATCTTGCATGTTACTTATACCAGTACATGGCAATACCTGCTGCATTTTAGCTCTACCTGATAAAGTGTAGATGAATTTATTTCATTTTAGGATTTTTTTTTCTTAATTAGAAAGAAAAACTTGCCTACTGATTAAAGTCATATCCTTCAACCTAGCCTTTTATTTTGGTCTCCTATCTGCTTCATTCTTTTATCTTCATTTCATAATGGTTCAGAGCCTGGTGAGAAGGATTACTATTAATTGGCCTCCCTCAAACCTACAAAATCTGATGCATGGGCTATGAATATAAAGAATAAAACAGTGGAGTTTGAGGAAGCAAAAGAAATATACATGTTTTATATATATATATATATATTTGTGTTTGCACACATGTCTTTAATATATGTATTTAAATAGTATATTCACATGGTTCAAAAAATTAAAAGGAGGTATAGAGTACAACAAAGTTTTGCCCTAAGTAAACTCTATTCCTCTTATTGATTTTTAGAAAAAAATATATTTACTTTTGTTTTATGCCATTAAACTGTACCATTCTTTTCACAACTATTTAAACCAGCTTTTTTCAGTGAAAATAATGTGATCACATTACAAAAAAAATTGAAAAGGAAAAAAAAAAAAGAAAAAAAGGCACTGGTTATCTCACAATGCTAACCAGTATGACCTCAAATAGTGTCTTTGGATTTTCTTGTAGCCCTTCTCGTAAGCGGGTTTTATACATTGCTGTGTTCATGACACTATTACTTCCTCTAAGTGCCTACATTGCACCTGGTTCCTGATTATGTTAAACTATGTTTCCATTCTTGGGAAAAACTAATTTAAATATGTAGCATTTCGGATTAATTTTGTGTAGGAGTCTGAATATCTGATCTACTTTATTTGCAAGGTGTTTTACTTGGAATTGGGTACACAGGATATATAGAAGCTTTTTGTTGTCAATGCCAGTTGTAAAAGTTGAAGCTACAAAAGTAGACCAGGGATAGCTCTCAGTTGGTTAGAGTGCAGCCTTGCAACACCAAAGGCAAGGGTTCAGATTCCCGTACCAGCCAACTGCCAAAAAAGAAAAACCAAAAAACAGTAGACCTAGGGGTCAGTAAACGTTTTTCTGTAAAGGGTCAGACAGTGTGAGTCCCAGCAATGAGTGATGAGTGGGATGTGTTTAAGGTGCAATTCAAGTACTGGGCTGGATTCTATGACGGTACTTCAAAAAGTTTGTGGAAAAGTAGAATTAAAAGATAATACGAACATTTCCATGAACTTTTGGAAGTATCCTTGTACATGCGCTGCCATAAAAGAGGCTGCGTCCCTACATGAACAGGCTAGTCCTATGAGAATGGGCACTGTGCAGTGCATGATGGGATTGAACATGGCTATGCAGAGAGGCTGCCTCTCTCCAGTGTGGCCGGTGGATGGAAGACACCAGTAGCTTGTCAAATGGGTCAGATTTTAAATCTTCTGCCTTCCAGAGGTCTTTTGGTCCCATGTGGGTAGAGTGAATTCTGGAGTGTGGCAAATATCCTTTTACAGGATGGCTTCAGATATCTAAGTCTTGGATATTGCCTGTTTGTTTATTCTTTTTCCTCCTCATTGCTTATCCATGAGTACTACAGAAGATTTTGAAGATACTGCAAAGCACAAAGAATAAAATAAAATCACAGGAAATGAAAATAAAGCTACTAAAGTAATTAATGCAGTAATGAACACTCTCATTTCCATTCTGCCTCGTACCCAGTCCTTACTACACTATCTCCTTTATAAGTTCCATCAGCACCAATGACACAGAGCTCATGACCTTCAGAGGGTGCCTCTTCATATTTGGAACCGTACAACTGGCATATGCCTACAGCATAACCTTGACTGGCTATGGAAGAAGATGTGATTTCTAAAGAGAGGTCCAGGCTACCTCCACGCAGGGCTTGCTGGATGGCTGACCTCGTCCAGTCACCATCACCCTAGGTGGGCAGTGGAAGAGAAGCCAGGGATCCCCTATGAGGGTCAGAGAGGCACGATGTAGAGAGTGCTGTGGCATTTCCATTCCCTTCCCCACAGCACAAGGGCAGGAATGGGCTCCTGTGCATGGACACCAGTGCAGCCAGTGCAGGTGTAGACAACGGGGTCCATTCAGATTAGTTGGTGCCTGTTCCACACTAGTGAGCTTTCACTAGTGAGCTTGCGTTCTGAGTGATAATCTTGCCTCAAGTCAGGAAGAGAACTGCGGGGGCGGGGGTGTCAACAAAGGAGAGGCTGGCATGTTATTTCCTGCTAGGATGCTCCCCAACTTGCAGACACCCTCAGGACTCCCTCAGGTTGCCACCAGAGCAGCGGCGGCTGGACATCTGGAGAATTCGACAGTGTCTTCAGTAATTGAGACATTGACAGACTGCTACATAGGTACTGGCCACTGGGATTGAAATGACTGGTGAGATGGGTCCCTCATTGCACATGGCCCTAATAGACATTATAGGAAGATGGACTAAATGTGACAGCAAGAAGACAATTCTTTCAAAATTATTATTCACAAATCTTGATATCAAATGGTTTTCTTGCTATTTGCTTGATTTTCTTAGGAGCAGAATGGAAGCTGGATGGAATAAATGAAATTAAAAGAAAGATCTGGTTTCATTAGGTCAGGTTCCTTGAGGTTTTCTTGGGATTTGGATTAAAGATGGCAACAAGGTGCTTTCAACTATTTACAATATGATTTAGGCCAGATTTACTGAAACAATTTCATAGAAATTTTAAAATGTCGAGGTAGTTTCTAAGAAAGCAATAATCTAAATTTAAAGTTTAAAATGTTTCTCAGGTAAACTGGGAAATGTATCTGCCTAGTTTACTCAAATGCTGGCTTGTAGGATAATTGGTCCCTTTTAGCAAGAGAGGTAGAAGTCTAACTCAGGCACGGCTTTCTCTTTCTGAGTTAAATGGTGCAGGGCATGTAATGGATTTCTTCCTCTGCCTAATTATTTAAGGATAAGTCTTGTGATCTAAAAAGGAACAATGTGCTGTTGTATCCAGGGTAAGGGGATTAATGGTCTTGTGCTCATAAAACAGTAGCCCAGCTCCCATTTAGTCCTTTTGATTTCCAGAAATAAGAGCCTGATTCTTACCACCCCTTGGATACAGTTGGCCTGCCTGGCCCCATTGATGAGAAATGGCAGTGGAGCCAATTCTTAGAGAATTAGCATCAAAGCAGGGCTTCCCACACTTGAGGAAAGCGAGTGAACATTTTCACTTCTTTTTAATCATTTGTTTAAAGAAGTTACTTGTGTATGTGTTAATATAATTTCTTGGTAAAAACAATTGGTCAAAATGAGTTTTCAGTTGAATTCAAATAATTCCATCAGACCCATCCATATTGAAAATCTTGAAAATGTAGGAGTTCTATTTAGTTGTGCTTGACATCATTTCATTTTATTTATTGCATCAAAACATGCTTTAAAAAGACACATATAGCTCAATAAGTGCTTGTTATTTGATTAATATTTCATTCTCTTCAAATCTTGGAGGACATTCAGCATAGTCACATTTGGAAGAAAGACCATGGAGAAGTCACATTAATTGTACATAACCTATTATTGGAAGGAACTAGTATCCTTTCATTCCTTAGTAAATGAAACTACTGAACTCTAAAATTATTCTTCCTGTTAGTTCCTTTTTAGCACCATTTATCTCCTCACATTTACACTTCCTCTTGGCTACACGCTATCCAGGATGCTTTTACTAGAGCATTCTCTGCGCTACGATGTTGTCTGAATATTTATGACTGGGTAGACAACCTTTGGGGGAAGTAATCTTCCTTCCCTACCTCCTTTTCTGTTATTGTAGCCCCAGCCCAATTTACTTTCTGATTGTCCCTCTGGGAATAATGTCAGAAACAGTGAGATGTTAACCTTCTTTCATCCATCCATCCATCTTGCAATCACTTACTGAGTGCTCATGTGGGGCCACCCTTCTTGCAGGGGCTCACAGCTCAGGACAGACTTGGGCATTGTCCTCATGTCCCAGGGCCCAGAGAAATCTATTTGTTGCAGATGGACAAAAGTATTTGGTAGACTCACTATTGACCCTGCAGCTCACAAAATTAAAACGGGGTGCTCTGTGCTTGGAGACGATGAAGTTCAAATCAGAGCAGGGATTGGAGACCCTCCTGACAAAGACTGAGGACAAGCCACATGAAATCTAGAAGCCCTTTGCCCTCCCCATGTCCTGGGCTTATTCTCAAATGGGGCATGGAATGATGTGCACATTCTGGCATCTCAG